TAGACTTTGCCAAAAAACATCTAAAAAAGCCAGATCAGTTCTGGAAAAGCATTCTTTGGACGGATGAAACTAAGATTAAACTGTACCAGAATGACGGGAAGAAACAAGTGTGGAGAAGGCTTGGAACAGCTCATGATCCAAAGCACACAACGTCATCTGTAAAACATGGTGGAGGCAGTGTGATGGCATGGCATGCATGGCTTCCAGTGGCACTGGGTCATTGGTGGTTATTGATGATGTGACAGAAGTAGCCGGATGAATTCTGCAGTGTTTAGAGATATATATGTGAAAAGGGAGGTGCAGCGCTGTATAACTAAACAAATAATGAATGATTACACAATAGTAAACAGTGACTGTAAGTTAATAATGCCACTAGATGGTGGCTATAAGGTGAAGAGAGTGAAAACAGTCCAATGAAGGGGTGCTCTTAAGATCCAGGGTGATCTTCAGACGTCCAATGTACAGGACCATCAGGTGATAAAATATAAAGACTGCGCACTCACCAGATACGCAATCTTTATGCGCATTTGTATGAAAATATCACTAGATCTCCTGTGTCATCATCCTGGTCTGGTCAGATCTGGTCAGCATATCCCTCATGGCCTGGTACCTGAATGGATGCAGCTGTTCTGTAGATTTGGCCGGTTCCCACCAGAACTCAAATAAATAGAAAGGGCCACATAGTGTAATATCCTCAGGTATCTTTATTGGAGGCACAGGATAGCAGAAAATCCAACATACAAAAAAATACTGACCCAGGTATGAATCAAAGATCTTTGATTCATACCTGGGTCAGTATTTTTTTGTATGTTGGATTTTCTGCTATCCTGTGCCTCCAATAAAGATACCTGAGGATATTACACTATGTGGCCCTTTCTATTTATTTGAGTTCTGGTGGGACCGGCCAAATCTACAGAACAGCTGCATCCATTCAGGTACCAGGCCATGAGGGATATGCTGACCAGATCTGACCAGACCAGGATGATGACACAGGAGATCTAGTGATATTTTCATACAAATGCGCATAAAGATTGCGTATCTGGTGAGTGCGCAGTCTTTATATTTTATCACCTGATGGTCCTGTACATTGGACGTCTGAAGATCACCCTGGATCTTAAGAGCACCCCTTCATTGGACTGTTTTCACTCTCTTCACCTTATAGCCACCATCTAGTGGCATTATTAACTTACAGTCACTGTTTACTATTGTGTAATCATTCATTATTTGTTTAGTTATACAGCGCTGCACCTCCCTTTTCACATATATGCTATTGAAGGTTTGATACGGTGCCTTTTCTGGTGTACAGCCGCTACTTATTATACAGTATCACATAAGCGCTCACTTATCTTTTGTTTTTCCTGAGTGTTTAGAGATATACTGTCAGCCCAGATTCAGCCAAATGCAGCAAAGCTGATTGGACGGCGCTTCACAGTACAGATGGACAATGATCCAAAACACACTTCAAAAGCAACCCAGGAGCTTGTGAAGGAAAAGAAGTGGAATATTCTGCAATGGCTGAGTCAATCACCTGATCTCAACCCCGTTGAGCATGCATTTCACTTGCTGAAGGCAAAACTAAAGGCAGAAAGACCCACAAAGAACAACTGAAGATGGCTGCAGTTAGAGCCTGGCAAAGCATCAGAAAGGAGGAAACCCAGTCTTTGGTCTTGTCCATGGGTTCCAGACTTCAGGCAAAGCATCAGAAAGGAGGAAACACAGTCTTTGGTCTTGTCCATGGGTTCCAGACTTCAGGCAAAGCATCAGAAAGGAGGAAACCCAGTCTTTGGTCTTGTCCATGGGTTCCAGACTTCAGGCAAAGCATCAAAAAGGAGGAAACACAGTTTTGGTAATGGCCATGGGTTCCAGACTTCAGGCAAAGCACCAGAAAGGAGGAAACCCAGTCTTTGGTCATGTCCATGGGTTCCAGACTTCAGGCAAAGCACCAAAAAGGAGGAAACCCAGTCTTTGGTCATGTCCATGGGTTCCAGACTTCAGGCAAAGCACCAGAAAGGAGGAAACCCAGTCTTTGGTAATGTCCATGGGTTCCAGACTTCAGGCAAAGCATCAGAAAGGAGGAAACCCAGTCTTTGGTCATGTCCATGGGTTCCAGACTTCAGGCAAAGCACCAGAAAGGAGGAAACCCAGTCTTTGGTCATGTCCATGGGTTCCAGACTTCAGGCAGTCATCGCCAGTAAAGGATTCTCAACAAAATATTACAAATGAACATTTTATTTATGATTACATTCAATTGTCCAATCACATTTGGTCCCTTGAAAAGGGGGGATGGCTACCCACATATATATGGACCTAACTGTATATTGTATATTGGACTGGTACCAGACTCTACATGTTTCTGGGCAGTTATATATTTATATTGTTCTGGTACCGGACTCTACATGTTTCTGGGCAGATATATATTGTATATTGGATTGGTACCGACTCTACATGAGACTGGGCAATTATATACTGTATATTGGACTGGTGCCTGACTCTACACGTTTCTGGGCAGATATATATTGTATATTGGACTGGTACCAGACTCTACATGTCTCTTACAATATATGTATATTGGACTGGTATCAGACTCTACACCTACCTACTAACTGTAGTCTTCTGGGCAATTATATATTGTAAATTGGACTGGTACCAGACTCTACATGTTTCTAGGCATATATATATATATTGTATATTGGACTGGTAAGAAACTCTACATGTTTCTGGGCAGGTATATATTGTATATTGGACTGGTACCAGACTCTACACCTACCTACCAACTGTAGTCTTCTGGGCAGTTATATACTGCAAATTGGACTGGCACCAGACTGGACTCTCCTGGGGAGATATACACTGCAGACCGGACTGGCACCAGACTACCTACCACCTACACCCCTCTAGGGAGTAATATACTGTATATTGGACTGGCACCAGACTACCTACCACCTACACCCCTCTAGGGAGTAATATATACTGTATATTGGACTGGCACCAGACTACCTACCCTACCTACACTCCTCTAGGGAGTAATATACTGTATATCGGACTGGCACCAGACTACCTACCACCTACACCCCTCTAGGGAGTAATATACTGTATATCGGACTGGCACCAGACTACCTACCACCTACACCCCTCTAGGGAGTAATATACTGTATATCGGACTAACACCAGACTACCTACCACCTACACCCCTCCAGGGAGTGATATACTGTATATCGGACTGGCACCAGACTACCTACCACCTACACTCCTCTAGGGAGTAATATACTGTATATTGGACTGGCACCAGACTCTGATGGGGGTTTTGTCTTCAGTAGGATCTCCTCATACAATAACACTTTGTAAGGTAAACACTTCAATTGTTTCATCTTCTTGCACTGTGATTGGTCCGATCCTCCCAGCTTCATACTGTAGGAACAGAAAAGTATCCCTGTTATTCTGCAGAGGATGTGAGATCCTGAAGAACGATCGTGGTTTATTATTCGATGGGTGTATATTGGAGATGGAGGTCTGTTAGTAAAATTGCACGTTGTATGGGAAATATTTAGAATCTGTATGTTACCCCGCCGCACACTCGGCATACATCCATCACTTCATCAGAACCAGCATTCCAGCCCAGTCCCACTTCATCCTACCGATACATTGTGTACTGGATACATTACATGACACCAGCAGAGATCGGGGACAGGCTGCCTTACCTCATATCACCCATATTCTGAGCTTCACACATCCTGATCCCTGAACACACTCACCCTCAGCTCTGGACACCCTGAGTCACACTCATCCCCAGTCACACTCCTCCCCAGTCACACTCCTCCCCAGTCACACTCACCCTCAGTCATATTCATCCCCAGTCATATGCATCCTCAGTCATATTCATCCCCAGTCATATGCATCCTCAGTCATATTTATCCCCAGTCATATCCATCCTCAGTCATATTCATCCCCAGTCATATTCATCCTCAGTCATATTCATCCTCAGTCATACATCATCCTCAGTCATCCTCACCTTCAGTGATGTGCAGTAGTTGCTGGATCTCCTGTTGCAGCCTCAGCTCCAGGACCTCCACCAATATCATCCTGCGCAGACTCTCCTGATGAATCCCCATCCGCTGCAGCAGGTCATCGGAGAGCCTGAGCAGAGCGCGGCCTGGAGGGAGAAGACAGCCAGGGTCATCCTATGGTAGCATGTCCCTATCCATCACCCCCGGTCAGGGGACTTCCCATCACAGAGCCCCCACCACATGACCTGTAATGGTCCTGACTTGACACACCGGGTCATTGGAGAAATAGACACTCGTGGCTCCAACTCGATACATAATCGTGTAGACATGGATTCACTCGTCAGCTATGAGAATGTGGAAGATGCTGACCTAAGTGACTTCAACCATGGCCTAGCTGTTGGCATCCAGGTAGTTGCAGCATCCTAGAGACTTCTCACCTCTCTGGATATTCCAGCATTGAAGGAACATTCATCTTTCTATTTAATTACAGAGGAACCCTTCAAATAATTTACTGGTTTCGGGGAACCACTTCTGATACCATTTCATTTGTGATCAGTGGGAAGAATGTTCCTTACATTGGTGGTCAGTGGGAAGAATGTCCCTTACATTGGTGGTCGGTGGAAGAATGTCCCTTACATTGGTGATCAGTGAGAAGAATGTCCCTTACATTGGTGATCAGTGTGAAGAATGTCCCTTACATTGGTGATCGGTGGGGGAAAGAATGTCCCTTACATTGGTGATCGGTGGGAAGAATGTCCCTTACATTGGTGATCAGTGGGAAGAATGTCCCTTACATTGGTGACCGGTGGGAAGAATGCCCCTTGCATTGGTGACCGGTGGGAAGAATGTCCCTTACATTGGTGACCGGTGGTGGGAGAAGAATGCCCCTTGCATTGGTGACCGGTGGGAAGAATGTCCCTTACATTGGTGATCGGTGGGAAGAATGTCCCTTACATTGGTGGTCAGTGGGAAGAATGTCCCTTACATTGGTGACCGGTGGGAAGAATGTCCCTTACATTGGTGATCGGTGGGAAGAATGTCCCTTACATTGGTGATCAGTGGGAAGAATGTCCCTTACATTGGTGACCGGTGGGAAGAATGCCCCTTGCATTGGTGACCGGTGGGGAAGAATGTCCCTTACATTGGTGACCGGTGGGAAGAATGTCCCTTACATTGGTGATCGGTGGGAAGAATGTCCCTTACATTGGTGGTCAGTGGGAAGAATGTCCCTTACATTGGTGACCGGTGGGAAGAATGTCCCTAACATTGGTGACTGGTGGGAAGAATGTCCCTTACATTGGTGACTGGTGGGAAGAATTTCCCTTACATTGGTGGCCAGTGGGAAGAATGTCCCTTACATTGGTGATCAGTGGGAAGAATGTCCCTTACATTGGTAGTCAGTGGGAAGAATGTCCCTTATATTGGAGGTCAGTGGAAAGAATGTCCCTTACATTGGTGGTCAGTAGGAAGAATGGCCCTTACATTGGTGGTCAGTGGGAAGAATGTCCCTTACATTGGCGGTCAGTGGGAAGAATGTCCCTTACATTGGCAGTCAGTGGGAAGAATGTCCCTTACATTGGCAGTCAGTGGGAAGAATGTCCCTTACATTGGTGATCAGTGGGAAGAATGTCCCTTACATTGGTGATCAGTGGGAAGAATGTCCCTTACATTGGTGATCAGTGGGAAGAATGTCCCTTACATTGGCGGTCAGTGGGAAGAATGTCCCTTACATTGGCAGTCAGTGGGAAGAAAATCCCTTTACATTGGCGATCAGTGGAAAGAATGTCCCTTACATTGGTGATCAGTGGGAAGAATGTCCCTTACATTGGTGATCAGTGGGAAGAATGTCCCTTACATTGGTGATCAGTGGGAAGAATGTCCCTTACATTGGTGATCAGTGGGAAGAATGCCCCTTACATTGGTGATCAGTGGGAAGAATGTCCCTTACATTGGTGGTCAGTGGGAAGAATGTCCCTTATATTGGAGGTCAGTGGAAAGAATGTCCCTTACATTGGTGGTCAGTAGGAAGAATGGCCCTTACATTGGAGGTCAGTGGGAAGAATGTCCCTTACATTGGTGGTCAGTGGGAAGAATGTCCCTTACATTGGCGGTCAGTGGGAAGAAAATCCCTTACATTGGCGATCAGTGGAAAGAATGTCCCTTACATTGGTGATCAGTGGGAAGAATGCCCCTTACATTGGTGATCAGTGGGAAGAATGGCCCTTACATTGGTGATCAGTGGGAAGAATGTCCCTTACATTGGTGATCAGTGGGAAGAATGTCCCTTACATTGGTGGTCAGTGGGAAGAATGGCCCTTACATTGGTGATCAGTGGGAAGAATGTCCCTTACATTGGTGGTCAGTGGGAAGAATGTCCCTTACATTGGTGGTCAGTGGGAAGAATGTCCTTTACATTGGTGGTCAGTGGAAAGAATGTCCCTTACATTGGTGATCAGTGGGAAGAATGCCCCTTACATTGGTGATCAGTGGAAAGAATGGCCCTTACATTGGTGATCAGTGGGAAGAATGTCCCTTACATTGGTGATCAGTGGGAAGAATGTCCCTTACATTGGTGGTCAGTGGGAAGAATGGCCCTTACATTGGTGATCAGTGGGAAGAATGTCCCTTACATTGGTGGTCAGTGGGAAGAATGTCCCTTACATTGGTGGTCAGTGGGAAGAATGTCCTTTACATTGGTGGTCAGTGTGAAGAATGGCCCTTATATTGGTGGTCAGTGGGAAGAATGCTCCTCATGTTGCTGATCAGTGGGAAGAATTCTCCTTACATTTCATATACCAAATGTTTTCATTCTGAATTGAATATGAGCCAGTGTCATGGAAGGGACATTGGACCCCAAGTCATGTGACGCCCCTCTTCCCTCCTTCCTTCTTAAGTAAGGGTGCAGTAGGAAGGACAGATTACCTGATATATCATGAGAGTAAGCTGCCTGGACAAGCCCAGCACTGTTCTGTAGGGGTCCATACTGGAGCCAGGAGCACACATCCTGCACCGTCCAATCACTAACTGGCTTCTCCCAGATGACCTCGTCGTCCGATCCTTCTGACCCTGAATCCTAAAGAAGAATCAGATACTGTATTATTGTTATACTTCCGTCGCCCTCCTCTACATCTTATGTGGCCGGCACAGACAGTCCTGGTTATAGGTGGGTTCTTGAGTCCTAATCACCTGTTGGCTAAATGTGCCATAGGAGCTCCAGCAATGAGGTCTCCCTACCATAGCTCTTGGTCATTGATCCTGCCCACTTTGGAGTGTTTCAGCCTTCCTTTATGCCGGGGGTTCCATCAAGCTGCGCACCTAAAACGCCATGCAACCCAGCACAGAGGTCTTAACACCATGTTGTCGTGGCAGACCAGCATGGCGCCATTGTAGCCTGGATGAGGAATAGGACATATTACCTTGAAGCCCTCCGCCATGGATCCTTGCCGTATATCCCTCCACCTTCTGGATTGATGGGTCTATCACAAGCTTCCTCTGATCGTCCTCATTTTCCTCTCCTGTATGGAGACAATGGAGTGTAAATGTGTCTGCCATATATAGAGATTCCTGCACTCTGGTTCCCAGGGTCTAATGAACTCTTTCATTCACTGTATGGATATTTTGTAGCAACCCTGTTTCCTGTCAATTGAATATGTATGATGTCCTACTAAGAATCTCTGGAAGATTCCCTCGTCCTACACATAAAGTAGGTGTGTTGCTGAAACGTGCATTGTCGCAACGCACAAGTGTGAATAGGTTCTAAGTGTTTCCATGGATACATTGTAGTAGATTTGTTTTCTGTCATATAATTCTCTACAAAGAATCCCTTTGAGATTCCCCCATTCTGGTGCCCTACATTGGAGATTCCTGCACTCCAGTTCCTGAAGTCTGCTTACGTTACATTCTTTGGTACCATACAATGTATCAGGCTGGATTCCTGTCAGTTAATGATTGACAGTATTTGATTCTACATTAAGAATCCTTCTGAGATTCCCCCATTCATGTATACTACATTGGAGATTTATTCATTCCATGATACCATACAATGTATCAGGCTGGATTCCTGTCAGTCAATAATTGACAGTATTTGATTCTACATTAAGAATCTCTCTGAGGTTCCACCATTCTGTCACCCTACATTGGAGATTCCTGCACTTCAGTGCCTGAAGTCTGATTACGTTTCATTCTTTGGTACCATACAATGTATCAGGCTGGATTCCTGTCAGTCAATAATTGAAAGTATTTGATTCTACATTAAGAATCCTTCTGAGATTCCACCATTCATGTACGCTACATTGGAGATTCTTTCATTCTTCGATACCATACAATGTATCAGGATAAATTCCTGTCAGTTAATGATTGACAGTATTTAATTCTACATTAAGAATCTCTCCAAGATTCCACCATTCTGGTGCCCTACATTGGAGATTCCTGCACTCAAGTTCCTGAAGTCTGATTAAATGTTTACTACTTCGATACCATACAATGTATCAGGCTGGATTCCTGTCGGTCAATGATTGATAGTATTTTGATTCTACATTAAGAATCTGAGATTCCGCCATTCATGCATGCTACATTGGAGATTCATTCATTCATTCTTCAATACCATACGATGTATCAGGCTGGATTCCTGTCAGTCAATGATTGACAGTATTTGATTCTACATTAAGAATCTCTCTGAAATTCAACCATTCTGTCACCCTACATTGGAGATTCCTGCACTCCAGTTCCTGTAGTCTGATTAAATGTTTAATTTTTTGATACTACACAATGTATAAGGCTGGATTCCTGTCAGTCAATGATTGACAGTATTTGATTCTACATTAAGAATCTCTCTGAGATTCCACCATTCTGTCACCCTACATTGGAAATTCCTGCACTCCAGTTCCTGAAGTCTGATTAAACGTTTTATTCTTTGATACTATACAATGTATAAGGCTGGATTCCTGTCAGTCAGCGATTGACAGTATTTGATTCTGCATTAGGAATCCCTCTGAGATTCCACCATTCTGGCACCCTACATTGGAGAATACCATACTCCAGTTCTCGCAGGCTGATTAAACGTTTTATTCATCGATCAGATACAATACAATGTATCAGGCTGGTTTCCTATCAATTGATGAATGATATTATATAATTCTACATTAAGAATCCCTCTGATTTTCCCTGATTCTGGCACCGTATCCACCATTCTGGCAATAGATCCACCATGATCAGATGTTGGTGCAGTGTTGTCTGGTTGGAGATCAGATGTGGATACAGTCATGTGCGATTGGATATCAAATGTAGGTACAGTGTTGTCTGGTTGGAGATCAGATGTTGGTGCAGTGTTGTGTGCTAGAAGATCAGATGAAGGTGCAGTGTTGTGTGGTTGGAGATCAGATATTGGTGCAGTGTTGTTTGGTTGGAGATCAGATGTTGGTGCAGTGTTGTTGTTTGGTTGGAGATCAGATGTTGGTGCAGTGCTGTGTGGTTGGAGATCAGATGTTGGTGCAGTGTTGTTTGGTTGGAGATCAGATGTTGGTGCAGTGCTGTGTGGATGGAGATCAGATGTTGGTGCAGTGTTGTATGGGACGGAGATCAGATGTTGGTGCAGTGTTGTTTGGTTGGAGATCAGATGTTGGTGCAGTGCTGTGTGGTTGGAGATCAGATGTTGGTGCAGTGCTGTGTGGATGGAGATCAGATGTTGGTGCAGTATTGTCTGCTTGGAGATCAGATGTGGATACAGTGATGTGCGGTTGGAGATCAAATATTGGTACAGTGTTGCATGTTTAGGATCATTTTTCTACTGTGTATTACATATAATCTGAGTTGGGCAGATAGTGTAAAGAATGCTGGGAGTGGTGGAGTTGCACATGTCCCAGCCTGTGTCATCTTTATTCATTGCTTTTCAGGAAATACTTCATCCTGTACAAAACACTAACACTGTTTTATTCACTGTGAGTGTCCCCAAGAGATCCACCATGACTATCTGTAAGGCCCACACCCTGACTGTCCCAAAGTGCTAATCCCTGATTGTCCCCAAGGCCACCCTGCCTGTTCCCAAAGTCTCTACTTTGATTGTTCACAAGGGATATTACCGTACTGCCCTCAAGAGCTATTTTCTGCCTGCCCCTAAGGGCTATACCCTGTTTGTCTCCAAGGGCTATTCCCTGCCTGTCCCCAAAGGCTCTACCTTGACTGTGCCTAGGGGCTGTTCCCTTCCCATCCTAAAGGGTTCTAGCTTGACTCTCCCCAAGGGTTATAACTTCACTGTCCCAATATCTATTCCCTTAATCTCCCCAAGGGGTTTTCCCTGCTTGTTCCCAAGGGATATTCCCTGACTGTTCCCAGGGGCTGTTCCCTATCTGATCTTGTAACAGCTATACCCTGCCTGTCCCCAAGAGTTATTCCTTGACTGTCCCTAAAAGCTATTCACAGACTGTCCCCAATGGCTATAACTTGACAGTTGCAAATGACTATTTCCTGACTGTCCCAAATGGCTATGCATTGACTGCCCCCAAGGGCTTTTACCTGACTGGCCCCAATGGCCATACCTGGATTGTCCCAATGACTATTCCTTGACTTTCCCCAAGGGTTTTTCCCTGCCTGTTCCGAAGGGCTATGCCCTGAGAGTCCCCTGGGGCTGTTCACTATCCACACAGCACTGCACCAACATCTGATCTCCATCCACACAACACTGCACCAACATCTGATCTCCATCCACACAACACTGCACCAACATCTGATCCACAACCACACAGCACTGCACCAAAATCTGATCTCCAACTACACAACACTGCACCAACATCTGATCTCCATCCACACAACACTGACCAAATCTGATCTCCAACCACACAACACTGCACCATCATTTGATCTCCATCCACACAACACCACAGCAACATCTGATCTCCAACCAGAGAGCACTGAACCAACATCTTATTCCCAACTAC